TTTTTCTACGTGATGTGCATTAACATACAGAATAAGGCACATCTGTTGTACAAATAATTATCACTGAACGTCTTTAGTAGAACAAAAATATAATTTGCCATCAAGTAGGTATCAGGTAGTTTGAAAGTGCCTGTCCTCGAGCCAAGTGGAACAAAGTAGCGTATTTAGCTTTGAATGGTTGCTTTGATATATTTTTCCACCTTTTATTGACAATGGTAATAATATAATAACTCCAAATATATTTGTATACTTAGAACTATTTTAGCTGAAGGCAGAAGAAACACAAAAGTGTATAAGCTGCCAGAGAGATAGATAATGTCTTTCTTACATGGAAGCATGAACCTCTAACATAATGGATATTATGCATAAATAAAAATCCATTAGACAAATAATGCCTTAGAACCGGATTTGCATAAGCTACATACCTACCTATAAATATATCTTTAGCCGACAAGATCTACAGATTGTACGATAACATTCTTCAAGGTGGAGTAATGCTGCTTTTATTTTCGTTATATCATTCACCGTTACAGTTTTTCAAGCATTTTGCAAGAAGTAGAATCAATGTATACAGGTTTTTTCCGATCAATGATATTGTATAAGCTAATGTTGGAAGATCGATTTGTTGTATGAGAAATAACATTTCTAAATACCTACATGTATAACAGATAACGACGAGGTGAAACAGCAATTGAAAGGTATATAACTAAGACTTTATCTAGAAGCAAAATTAAAAATAAAAATGAAGAAAATAGACATTGCGTATATTTACATTTCAGCAAAGCATATACACATGCGCCCGCAAAAAAAATCATATTTAGCATGGTTTTATGTAAACATTTTGAGAATTTACAGGAGTTGCCCTCCATCTGAGAAAATTTGCTTCCCTGCTCTTCAAAAAGATTTTGTGGGGCAGGTACGCTTTCTCAAAAAGTTATCTCTCGCCGATGATCGCCCCTCCTCCCAAAAAAAAAAATTCTTGCGGGCGCCCATGGTCATATACCTTACATATAAGAGAAATACTGAATTGGTAATCAAATATCACTTCTATCCAGAAAAAAAACAAAAATCTAAGGGCATATTTTTTTATGCAAAAAATGATCTAGTCAATTCTCTATCACCCACAGCGATAACAATATTGTATGAGTTGAAAACATATTTGGATTTTTACATACATACATATACAGGGTGTTCATTTGGAAAGTTCCGACTACGGACTTATCGAAAACGCCGAGACACGTCGAAAGATTTGCCAAGGGGAACAACTTTTTAACCAAAAACTACTTCACCCCTTTCACCCTCATTTTTTTGAAAACGAATCGACCGATTTTAAAAATCAAACGTCAAAATAAAGGAATTCGGAAGACCTTTCAAACAAGCTATTACTCGATACCTCTTGTCATCTAAAATTTTTAAGGGAATGACCGTGGGGAGCAGAGGGTAAAAGGGGTGAAGTAGTTTTTGTTTAAAAAGTTGTCCCCCTTGACAAATCTTTTGACGTGAGTCGGCGTTTTCTTTTAATCAGTGGTTTTCGATAAATCCGTGGTGGGAAGATTTCAAATGAACACCCTGTATGTAGAAATACGAACACAATAATGTGAAATGAAAAAACATAACAAAACAATTGTTCTGAACACTTTAACTTGGAGGGTATACTGTTGCTGATTTTACTTATTTTGAGGCTGATACGTACGTAAAAAGCCAAACCTGTTATTCAAAATCGGAATGTTGATGATAATATCAGATAAATTGAGCTTGTGAAATATTCCTTTCCTCCAACAATATGAAACAATTTGGGACATTTAAGTAATCGAAGATTCTTCTTGCAAACACTTTTACTTTACAAAATGTCACTTATAATTGCTGAATCTGGAGCTAGGTTAATCTTTTGCGGAGAAACCTCATTGCAAGTTTATACAGTGGGTGTGCCGACTAAATAATGCGTTCTTATTCTGAAGGTTTCGAGGTGTCTGAAATTGAAATATATTATGTTTACATTTCTACTTGAAACATTACGGGTTTATACGAGGTAAGTTTTGTATGTCGAATATAACAAATACGAAACAGAATTGTCTTTTTTAAATTATTAGTTTTTGGCAAAAAGTATATCATTCTATTCAGTGTGTTTAGTAATTATCTATTTCTTGTAAGAACAAGTGATTTTTCCCAATAACATATACACCAAAGTCTTAAGATAATCCACATATCGGGCTTATTAAAATTATATGCGATATCAAATGCGGTTCTGCTTCCTCCTCCATTTCTCCTTAGGTGACGTGCATTCAAAACTGAAAATGGCACAATTTGTTAGTTAACGGAAGTGTAATTTTCCTCCTATACCGCGTGACAGAGTGGTACTTGAAATTTCTTACCAAATCAACAGCGAGTCATTTGATTAATACTTTTTTACTTTTTCGCTGTGTTACTTCAAACGTATTTGCCCTCGAAAAGGAAAGTCCTAACTTTCTGAACGTTCTGTATAACTAGGGATGCACTGGGTACTATTTTTTTCAAAAGGCAGAGTACCGGGTACTCGATCAGATTGAACTACTGAATACCGGGTATTCGGCTCTGCGTTATTTTATCTACTGTTGGTAATATTAGGATCATATTTCCGTTTTCAAAGGTCCTCGTATTCTCAAAATTTATTTACTCTTCCAAGAAATTAACGTGCCACAGCGCAAATAGCGTAAAGACACTAACTTACTGTAAAAGATATTTACTGAAAAGCATCCAAATCAGGCAACTGTTGTAACCTTGGTTGACGGTGCCTTAATTTCTTGGAGAACACATCAGGAAGCTTTGGGAAAAGTATATGAGCTCGGACATTGCACATAACTGTGAGTAATTCAATACTGGGGTAAACCGGGTATACCTACCTATATTTGGCAAGTATGCCGAGTACCGCCTACAAACCTAGTAGGCACTCAGTGCATCCCTATCTACAAAATGAATTATTTTAAATATTTTTGGAATCATCTGGGTTTTGTTCGATATGCACATATTCGCTTTGTTCTTAAGAAGAGGAGTATTGAGGAATGCATACGATATTTGATTTCACGGATTTGAAAATCAAACTACACAAATGACGTCGAGAGTGATCTAACCTTAATTACATACTAGACTAAACCCGGGGCAGAACTCACGTAGAAGTAGTGAAAAGTATAGTTCATTTGTTTTGCATTACTGTGGAGGTTTCGGAGGAAATACGATAGTTATTATTTTTATCCAACATGTTAATGCAACAATAAATTAATTTCAATGTTCCGCTATTTTAAATCGTCGGCAAAAAGTAAGGAGTTTACTTGAAAATTTATCCGATTTCAAAATGACGGTGAAGGTCATGGCCAAGTTCATTGGCAAGGATATACTATACTTGAACAAAAAATTGTCGACAATTTGCATTTCAGGAATCAAAAATAGATGTTTCTCGCTCAAAGTCAATTCCATTGTCAAATTACCTTGACGGTCACATTAAATGTCATGCACATACCTGAACATAACGTTTCAAGATCTTTTTATTTCCGTTTCAGAAATAGGGTTTTTTTTTTTACATATAATTGGCATTGGAAGTTATCCATTTGCCACAGATGTGTGTTACTTATATTTCTCTAATTATGGACAAACACACGACGTCACAACATCCATGGCGAAGGCGAGATTCGAACTCGCGGCCCGGCCGGCTGGCTGATCAGTAGCACGACACTCTGACCAACGCGGCCAACCGAGGCCAAAATAGGGGGTTAAAAAGTAATACTGTCTTGACTTTAAAAATGACCTTGAATGACCATATTTATTTATGAAACGTAGTTTACGAGATATTTTAGGTGATAAAAATAGGGGTTTTATTTATGAAAACTGTATTGATCTTCAAATGACCTTGAAGGTCGTAGATGAAACTTTCCAAGCCTTACACCTTTGTTCTACATTTTTCTTTAGAAAGCGCTTTCTTAAAAAACGATGCCTATGTCCTTCGATGGGTTTGAATTATGGCTCAGAAGTGGTGCTAACAGACCTGATAGACATTTACATTTATAGAGGGAAATTTCGTTGACCATTTCAATGTGTACGAGAGAGACACGCGTGCAACACCATGCAATACGTATGATAGAAAGTGCGCCGTATAAAGCGTCGCTACCACGTTGACTGGCAACGACGGTGGGAGAGAAATAACAGTCCGGCAGGGATATTTTGTAAAAAACGTGAAAAACCGACGAAATGTCATCTTGCAAACTAGGTAGTTTTTAGTGTGCAAATAGTTCATTCCACGTTTGCTTGCTGTGATCGCCGTTTAAGCAACACGTATGTATAGCTACAAAACAAGTTCAAAACAGGTGTACAACAGGTTGTGCTAAGTTAACATCTTGTAGAGAACTACGTTATGTCACAAAAAAACCTACGAAATGTCATTTTTCAGGATACTGTAGCCTTTTTTATGTTTTTTTTTATGTGTGGATTAAAATACTCGATTCCACAAAAAGAAATGCACTAATTTATTTAAAACACAACACAACTAACTTTAACCTGACTAGATGGAACATTTATGTACACCACTATTTATGTCTGACTACTTATTTACGAATTATTATGTCGCGCCATTCACTCAGCTCTGTTCGAGAAAGTTCGGGTGAGCCACATGGCGGCAGTCCAGAATCTTCGAGGTCACTTCGCGTCGATCTAGAAGGAGACTCCCTTGCGCGGTTCACAAAAAGTGTCGCTCGTAGTACCACGCGGTGTCAGTCTCGCATCGAAGGAGAGTCACTGGCGCAATTTCCAACAGATGGCGCTGGTAGTACTATTTATTCTTGTTACAATACATAATACCCGCGCCACTCCGCACCCGTAGGTATCTACTGTGGTTGCCAGCAACGTGCTGACGACGCTTATAGATCGCACTCTTTCTAAAATACGTTGTGCACGCTTCTTTCTCTCTCTCTCTCTCGCATTAAATCCAATGCGGAAAAGATAAATGAATTTGACATTTGATAGTTTTTCCATAGGCTATCGCCCACCTGGGCTACACTCAAGTACCTCCCCGGCTCCACATACCCGGCGCAGTACTCGTAGGCAACTACCCGGCTGCATTACCGCCAATCACACGTCGACTTGACGGTGGAGGCGGACCCCCACCACGTCTGCGCCGTCCCCCACCCCCACAGAACCTGCCTCCTTTGAGGGAGGTGCGACCCGTCACTGAAGAGGACGAGGACAACTACGCTCCACCCTCTCAAAGCATCGCCTCGTTCGATAGTGAGGTGAATAAACTGAGCGAATCGGCTCTGGCTTCAGCGGTGAGACAGGCTGAGGATGATGAACAGCATTCGCAGAGGCCGCAACAGGTGCAAGTGCAGTTCAGGCCGGAAAAGCCAATCCCGGTGACTAGGTAAGTTAGATCTTATTCCTATATTTCTCACAACGGTAAAAAATGGCGTCATGAATACTGGTGCTCTGTACTTTCCACGCGATTCTGTTACCAACTAGATTATATTCGATTTGGTTTGATCAAAACAATTGCATTGGACATATAAAGTTTACCAGGTACCTGGAATAGACATCTAGCACACTGAATATGATTTCTTGTTTTTGTTGCACAACGTGGGTGTATATGCTGTTTTAGCAAACTAAAGTGAAACAAATTAACCCTTCTAGACAAAAGGTGACTACTCACATGTAAGTATAACAAAAAAAATAATGTATCAAGTCGATTCAAAAGACTCGACTAGAATCAAAACCTAAACATCAGGTATATTCATTCAGATGGAGACAAAAGCTGACATCTAAAGCAAAAAGTGACTCACGTGACGATTATTTCCGTATGGATTTTTGCTTGCACATTCACCCTATTTAACTTAATAACAGAACGTGTTTCACTGATATCAAAGATGCAAAGCTTACACACCCCTATCCCCTATAACTCCCAACCCCAATTCTTTACCCCTTCAAAAATAATTTTGAAAAAGAGCAGGAGTTTCTAAGTCATCAAAAGATACAGTTCTAGCGATTTTTAAAAACCACAAATGTGTATCGTCCTTGGCATGGTAGAAAAGTTGTTGTAAAATTTCATTTAAATCCGATCGGTGCCTTTCGAATTATAGAGGGGGCAATGATAAGATACCCCCCCCCCCCACTATTCAAAAATGTTTGGGGTACCAGAAATGGTAATATACAAACGTTTCTTCTTGTCGACATATAATCCGCCTGAGAAACTCTCCTGTGGCCGCCCATGTCTATGCAAAAGGCTCGTTTATATTTGATTCACCCATGTATGTGTATAAAACAATGAGTGTATTCAGTTAACGTAAAGTGGTCTAGAGCCTTCATGCTGCAAAGCAATGGCCGTGAGAAGTCTTTGTCAGTTTCGTAGCAGTTTTCGATTCGTTGTCAGATTTGTTAGTCTGTTGATCAAAAAACGTTTCGAACTGTCAAAGCTATTCTACGACTAGGTACTGCTAATCAGCATAAAAGCGCTGAATCGTCGTACGTTAGTTGAATGCACTCATTGTATGCCCTAAAATAATTGTGTTGTTCCAACCTTTCTTACAGAGATCAAATTAGGGAAAAACAATCTCCACTAGACCTTCCAATATTCAGGCCACAACAGCAAAGGCCAGCTCCAAACCAAAGACAAGAGCAGCAGCAACGACCCGTTTCAAGGCCCCCTCCACCACCGAGACCTGTTAGGCCAGTAGTGAGACAGGAAATCGATGATGAGGAGGAAAATGTACCTAGGCAACAAACTAGACAAAAGGTAAACACATCGAAAGCTATGATTTCCTTTAAACAGTGTCTAGTTCTTGTAAAAATAAGCAAATTTTAGTAGCACATACACCGAAGTGGTGGAAGGATAATTTAGATATCAGGGTCCGAATAAATCTGCCGTTTTAAGTCTGCCCCTGCCTCTAGTAAATAATTAAGTGGAAAGATGCATGTGCTGGCTACTAGTTTATAAAGTTGATTTGAGAAAATCGAAAATACAAGCAATAATGCAATAACGAACCTATCGATTTGATGTTAGTTAATGACAAGAATCTTCAAGACGCAGCTGATAATTGAGGGCAAGATTGAAGGAAAATACCGTCCTAACTCCTACCTAATAGATGCTGCGTAAAAGACCACGAAAAATATGCTAGAATGTTCACCAACGTTCATTGAATGCATACGGAACCTCAAGAAGAAGTATTCAAGATGTTATTGTTGCTTCACGAGACTAAGATCGTTTCCCTTGACGTTTTCATTTCGCGGCGCTTACGCCGTCGAGGTGAGAGCATTAGAAGACCTAGACGGCCTCGAATCTTGCAAACTGCATATGTTTTCAAATAGAATGTCGACAACTTAATAATAATAAGTGACACGAAGATAGTTGAACGTTCCTGTGTGCTCTTTTCTACGATTTTTCAACTTTTTGGCTGCCGTTTCACCTTTTACCGCTTCTCTATCAACGTGGTGATTTGAAAAAATCTATAACCTAGAGTATACAGATACGTTGACGATAATTCCAAGCCTGAAAGTATTTTGAAAACCATGAAATATTCCTAATAAAGCTAAGGCACCGTGGCACGATCGGCCAAACCTGGGAGCTACCTGCTGGCACTGGAATTCAATATTCAATTTTAAGCTGTATATTAATCAAGATGTCCTCAAAAGTGCGATAAGAAAGGATATTAGGTGCCATAGTGTTACACTGCTATGGCGAATAAAATGAGTAGAGTCCATGCGTCATACTCAACGGGCCTCTGCCGGGCTTCAGTTTTGTGCGCCCCGAGGCAAGGGATGAAATATGCGCTCTCCCCATACATATATTGAGAACAAGAGCAGATCCAGTCTTTGAATCACGGGGGTCACTTATAGTCACAGTTGCGGATTTAGGGAGCTGTCTAGAGCAGGGCGCATGATTCATGCTCAGAAAGAGGTTCTCGGGGGTATAGAGGATGGGGTATCGGCGAATGAAAACTACCTCGACTGTATCAGTATTTTCTAAGACCTGCTTTACTGATCAGTGAAGAGCGGGGGAGGGGCGTTGGCTGGTCGGTTTCGATTCGCCCAGTGAGGGGTCTTGAGGGCCTTTGATCCGCCCTTGCTTACCGCCTTTGCGCCTCTGTGAAACTTTCGTATAAAAAACACTGATATTACCATTTAAAGTATAATTTATTACTTTAACACAAATTTATTACAACACTAGCAACTAAGAAAGTGAGACAAGTCGCCTCAGGGCACAGTGTCATGGGGGGCGCCAAATTTTCAATCAAGGGCAGATCCAGGGGGTCATGACCAACCCCCCCCCCCTAGTCCTACGTTCTTCAGTTATCAGAAAGACATTAGCATATTCCATCTTTTGCCTCAGGGAGCGTATTTATCTTCGCTTCGACGAATTCCAGAAGCCTTCCAGGCATAACACTCGAGTCTTTATCGAGGCTTGCTAGAAGGCGTTCGATGTTTCTCGAAGCCTGAAGAACATTCGCGGTCTAAGCGTCAGTGTTTACGAGAGTGTCTCACGCTTTGTATACGAGGACGTGTCATAAATTATAGATTCGCTAGTATACACGTAGGTCACAGAAGAGTTGACCATTCGAATATCATCTATATTAGATTTTTACTTCCATTTCAAATTGTAAATCTGTAGCCCATAGCCAGACTAAGTCAAATCCATTTTTGTCAAAAATGAGTTTAATATGCTAAGCTTATGATATTATGAATTTTCATTTGCTACATGCAGCGTCCACGTATCTGTAATAATAAGGAAGTTATGGCTTTTTTTATCTCACGTCAAGTCGTATATAATACAATACAACAAAAATATTTCAAATACAATTATCTCAAAACTACTTATTTGGATATAACCTAGTCTCGCTCTGAGATACAGAAATAGATGCGCATTGTATGTATTCCACATTTGGCTGATTTTTTAAGTCCACCTTCATTTTCAGCCGAGGCCTCAAGCTCCACCACAACAGGTCTACCGTGCCGCGCCCCACCACACTCAGTACAAAGCGGGGCCGAGAAACGCCGAAGACAACGAGTATCAAAAACAGAGGAAGCCCGTGGTGCAAATCCTGAAAAAATATCGGACGGACAACCCTGATGGTAGCATCACCTGGGGATTCGAGAATGAGGATGGTACCTTCAAAGAAGAGACGCTGGGCACGGATTGTACTATCAAGGGAAAGTATGGATACGTTGACCCTGAAGGAGTCAGAAGGTAGGTATATTTTGTAATAAGAAATGTCTCAAAATAAGTAAATAGTTTCACACTCATGCAAAGCACAAACAAATAATGTAGCGGGTTGCAGGTTTATAACGCGGGTTTTCTTTGTTTTACGTTACAATTTTTCCTAACATGGTTTTATACTCTTGCAGAGAATTTGAATATGAAGCAGGCAATAAATGCGATCCCAACCGCAAAGACATTGACGAAGACGATGAAGACTTGCCTCCTCAACCACCACCACAACATAAGAAACCTCACAATACAGGAAAGCCACAAGTTCAGTTCAGGCCCCAACAGTTGGCACAGCCACAGTACTAGGTTTAAATAATTATCATATCACAGATATTTCAAAACATCATACAGATTTTTTTGGCAGTGATGAAGACACAGTGATTAACATATGGTTCAAGCATGTAATCAACCAGTCAAATAGGCAGATAGTTGCTACAATTAGTCAATATGTGGTAGTGCGGCACATGTTGCTAACCATGTGAATTTCGCTAAAAATGAGATTCATACATCAGTTGACAAAAATTAAATATTGTATCATATTTTCGAGTCCAAAAGAATGTCAGTGTCATGTTGCCTTTTCTTTGAGAAATAGTATTGTATCTGGTAAACGTTGATGCTTTTGATAATTTATATTTATTTTTCTAAGTTGATGGAAGATTTTCAAACTGGATGTACAATGTCTAGGTGTTTTCCAATATTAACAAAATAAGAAAAACACTGTAACATAATTTTGTACTGTTGTAATAAATATACAATTATAAATCGTATTTCCTTTTTACATGCAATAAAAACAACAAAAGCGAAATCATAGAAAAATATTGTCTGCTTGGGACACAAAAGAAAAAGTTGTATTCATTGCAGCATAATAAATATCACAAGAACAAGACAGAAACCATAGTGGATTCTAGGTAAAATATTTAATAACCTTTGAGAATTATGTACACTTGAACTACTGAAATGTGTATCCACCACCTCCTCCACCCTGTTGCTGGTCTCCAAGCTGTGATGGGTCTTCCATTGGTGGTAACTGTGGCTGAAATTGCTCAGCTGATAATCTTGTGAATAGGATTCCTACACCTTCTATCAGAGCCAATAGAACTCCACCTGTCACAATAAAATTGACAGTCACACAACTTTGTTTACATACACAACTGTCACACCTTCATGCTTCCTACACAAGAGCAAGGAAAATTATGAGATCACAAGCACTTCAGGGAATATGTCATGCATGTTTTTTATGTATTACATGTGACAGTTATCTCAGTTTATTATCAAAACATTATGTGGATGTGTTTAACATTTTGTTGCTATTTTTATAATAATTCTATTTCCATTTAAAAATATGTCATGTTTAACATCATATGCACAAACTCATTGATTATCATCTTCTACCTGAAGATAGCCAACCATATAATCTATACTAGCAAAAAGAATTAGTATTTGATTCTGCTACCAGATGGTGCTATGTTGTTCATACCCTTTTTGGCTTCTATAATGCCTACTTTAAATGGGTTTCTTCAGGCATTGATTAACATTAAGAATAATTGTATATTTAGCTATAGACTATAGATGATCTATCTATCATACTGCACCTGAAGATATCCAATTGAAATAGGCACTTGAGAGACCAAATCAATTATTCAATGACAAAATAAAATTCCAATGTTTGCCCAGAAGGATGGTGCTGAGTGCTGATGGATATTTTGATAAAACATGACAATATTGTTGGAAAACTACAAGAAATCAATGAGAGGATCCGTAAAGAAATTGAAATTATTAAATATAGTGGCATGCAGTATGCCCAGCTCGATTCCAAGAAAACCTGGTCCATACTAAGAGTGCAAACAAATGTTTCCTGGGACAAGATGGTACTTTCTAAAGATGCTCGCTTTGGGTAAAATACCTGGATAGTATTCTTGATAATGTATTGATTTTGAGGTAAAATGTCTTACCTATAAAAGCACTTCCTGCCATTGCTGGTAATCCATTCCTAGCTGCTAAAATACCTCCTGTTGCTGCTCCACTGATAATTGAATTCCAAGGATCTTCCTTCTTCCTGATGTGGATCAGTGCACAGTCAATAGTTGAGAACATACCACCCCACACAGCAAAGTTGCCAGCTATGGTTGGGGATCTTTGTTTTATTGCAGTCAAACTTCCAGCCTAAAACATATTAATTCAATCAAATATATTGATTCTCACAAAGAAAAATTAACAAAACAACTTTGATTTTAAAGAGCTGATTATGTGATTATAGATATATGTGAAGGGTATCAATGGATACTGAGGAGTAGTGAATAACTCACAACTTGGACTGACTAAAAATAGTTTTTATGGCAGCTTTTCTTACAGCCAGATAGATCAAAAATTGCCTAAGATGACACTATTGTTGAACATCTCAATGAAGTGTACTTTTATCACTTCCACTTTTAACTTATGCACAGCAGTGCTAATTTCTGAAAATACTGTTCAATTTTTGACAAACTTAAACCTGAGTGCTTGAAATATGCAGTGAGATGCTACCACTCATAATCATATTGTGTGGTTGATGCTGTTGGTCATCAGTGGGGATTATGATTATACTTATATGATTCAAATGGTCTGTTCTTTAGAAGCAAAAGTGAGCTATCATAATGCTCTGCATAATCAGTTATTCAATACACAATATAGTACAAACAGCCCTATTTCAAGAGTATCGTTCAAGCTTTGACATCTACTGAGGTAAACAGTACCTGACTACCTAACATTGACACATCTGTCAGAGTCATGTGTCCTGTGCTGATATGGGGAATTTTGAGATATTACTAGATAATCAGCTGTCATCCTACCGTGATGGATACTCGTGAAATAAGGTTTACTATACTTGTGTCCTGAACTAACTTAATCTATGTAAACTTGAAATGTGGCATAATCCAAGAAATGAATGAATCAATTTGCTTTGGCCCCTGGTATGAGAAGGCATATTGCCTTGGAATGGGAGTTAGGAATATTTGTCATAATAACAGCTTATTTTTTTAATACGGCAGTGAAAATGCATCCAGAAGCTTGACTAAAAAATTTAGGAATACTGTCAGTTATCTGGTTTTGTGTACTAGATATGCAATGGTATAGCATGCTACCAGGATCATGTTATATAGATGAAAATGAATTGGAGGTCATTCACTCCACTCCACGATGCATGGTTCCTACATTCTACCACAATATCTTCGTCATTATACATAATATCTAAGCTTATCGCAACATGATGTAACGAAACCTACCAGTCTCTTGCTCATTCCTGAAGGTGCGTTTCTGAAACCTTTAATGCTTTGAAACACACCTCCTCCTATTAAACCCATAGTGAAGGCACCTCCACAATCATCCACGATTCTCCAGGGACACGGTTCTCTTGTGTATTCTTCCATTTTTCTTTAGTTTTTGTTTGAAATTGAGAATTTTCTTGGACGATCTAACCTTACATGTCACTTCGGTGTCGAAAAGAAATGTCACATACAGCACACACTTTTTATAGCATCCACAAACATTGAGACAGAAATGTAAGAAGAAACATGATATAAAAGGACGTAATCACGTCCGCCATATTATTCCCTTCTACATACAAGGTTTCTTACTTTCTCATTTTTATTACAATTCCATTTCAACAATTGTAAATCTAATATTATCTTTATTATTATTGCCCTTGATTTTTATTTCAGTTTGAAATTGAGACCACAGCGCTAAGGTAACATCGTTGGTAGCTGGTAACAATAGGTTTTTGGTTTGTTTGTTCTGTGGGGATGCCACGTCAGCGCGTCATAAGTCTCATAACTGTCATTTGTCAAGCAGAAGTTTGTTTTGGTTATGTTATGTACTTTTTCAATCCCAATGTTATTTTGAGGATTTTCTCCAAGACATTCATTTATATTTAAAGGAGAAGTATAAAAAGCAAGATGAGCAGAAGAAGACCTCATGAGGATGACGATGGCTATGGTAAATATTTCATCCTAGCATTTGACCTATTATTAACACTCGCATATTTTTTTCAGAGAGAGCCTACAGAAAACGACGCAGGGTTTCAGAAAATCAAGAAATCGAAGATCGACTTGAATCTTTAATCCTCAGAGTTGGCGAGAAGAGCACATCTTCTCTAGAGAGTAATTTGGAAGGCCTAGCAAGTGTGCTTGAAGCAGATTTGTCTACATTCAGAGCTAAAATATTACGCATCCTAACTGACTGTGCAATTCGAATGCCTGAGAAATGCACTATATATACCACATTAGTAGGATTGCTTAACGCAAAAAATTTCAACTTTGGAGGAGAATTTGTTGAATACATGGTAAAAACATTTAAGGAGTCATTAAAAAATTGCAAATGGGATGCTGCAAGATATGCTCTAAGATTTCTTGCTGATCTAGTGAATTGTCATGTAATTTCAACAGTCTCCTTATTGCAACTTCTTGATAACATGATGGATACAGCAAATGAGGATAATGTACCACAAGTCCGAAGAGACTGGTATGTGTTTGCTATACTTAGTACGTTGCCTTGGGTTGGAAGAGAACTCTATGAAAAGAAAGAAAAGTTATTGGAACATCTCTTGGTGCAAATAGAAATATTTTTAAATAAGAGAACAAAAAAACACCATAATGCATTGAGAGTATGGGCAATAGATACTCCACACCCTCAAGAAGAGTACTTGGACTGCCTTTGGGCACAGATCAGAAAGTTGAAGCAAGACAACTGGGCTGAGAAGCATATACCTAGACCTTACTTAGCATTTGACTCTATTTTATGTGAAGCCTTGCAACATAATCTGCCACCAATCATACCTCCACCTCATCATGATAGTTATCAATACCCTATGCCATGGGTAGTTTTCAGGCTTTTTGATTATACTGATTGTCCAGAGGGACCTATTTTACCAGGTGCTCATTCAATTGAAAGATTCCTCATAGAAGAACATTTACATTCCATTATTGAAATGTATCATTTGGAAAGAAAAGATTGTGCAGCACATTTGTTAAACTTCCCATATAAGTTAAAAATACCTTTAGAATACTGTATTGTAGAAGTGGTCTTCGCAGAGTTGTTCCATATGCCAACTCCAAGGTATTTGGAGATAGCTTATGGTGCTATTTTGATTGAGCTATGTAAACTGCAACCATCTACAATGCCACAAGTACTTGCTCAAGCAACAGAGATGTTGTTTCTGAGAATCGATTTTATGAACGTGTCCTGTTTTGATAGATTTGTATGTTGGTTTGCATACCATCTCAGTAACTTCCAATTTAGATGGTCTTGGGAAGATTGGGATGTTTGCCTAACTTTGGATGAAGAGCATCCAAAGCCTAAATTTGTTAGAGAGACAATGCTGAAATGTATGAGGTAATGTATAAATGTACATAACTCTTGACACGATTTTAATATTTTATTAACTTTAAAAGGTTGTCTTACCATCAGAGGATAAGGGAAATATTACCAGAGAGCTTTGCCAAGTTTATTCCAGAGAAACCTGAGCCAGATTACAAGTATGCCAAAGAAGGAGCTGGTAAGTACGGAACAAAAATATCACTCAATCAAAAATTAGATGAATCATCTCATATTTAGTAGTAGGTTCAATTCATGCTCAGATTGAAAAACTATCCTAACCTCTACATGTGTATGAATAATCATTGTAACAATTCATTAGTACCCTAAATGATAATACTATTTATTTCTAATAAAATGAGCAAGCAGATGTGTGATATTGCGTGTGTTATGATAAAAAACACTGCCAGATGCAACCTAAAGGGTGTAACCTTGAGATATCTGTACCTCAGAGCCAAACTAGGTCAAGTCCAGTTTAAATGATTTTTATATGTTGAGTTCATAATATTGTAAACTTTCGTTTGCTACTAGCAGTGTCGACCTACCTATTATAATAAGGAAGTTTCAACTCTTTAAATCATGTTCAGTTGCACATAAGGAAAATATTTCAAATGCAATTATCTCAAAACTACTCATTTGGACTTAACCTTTTCCAGCTCTATGGTACATATAAATGCTGACACAAAATACCTTCATTTCTCAACTTATACCAAAATAAGTTTATTTATAAGGTTGATATGAGAAAGTTACATTACAGTATAAAAAATATTGAGACATTATAAAATATTTTTATTTGTCTTTAGTTTTATACTTATATTTCTTTGCTCCGTTATTGAATTACTTTAAATTTTGTGGATGCTGACTGCTACACTTTGCTACTTTCGAGCTATTTCAAAATGGGCCTTTACATCTGGTCTCATTAATATCTGAGTAACTGTTTGCAAATCTTTGTAACAAAATAAGTAAGTCATGTTCATTTATTTTATGTTAATAATTTCTATAGATAACAGGGTATTGCTTGTACCTGTCTACTATTGATTTAATTATAATAATACAGAATAAATGTCTGATCTGTCAAAAAGTATTCTTAAATTAAATATCACTATTCATAATATTTGACACAAAATAGGTTAGTAGGTAAATAGTTCTTTTATTATATATATTATTATATCTTTTGTAGATAACTAGGTATTGCTTGTACCTATTTGCAGTTGATTATTTAATTGGTCTAACAATACAGAATAAATACTTATTCTTCTGTTAAAAAACCAATAGCAAGTATACTTAAATCAAATATCACTATTGAATACATAGATTAAAATACATATTTACAACTTACAACCATAGTAAAATCTATTCGTCTTTCATTAAGAGCTAATTCTTTCAATATTGTTTCTGTGACCAATTACATGGGATTAGTCTATATTGTTATTTCTGTTGAAATTCCTTCATTTAGAAATCTTTTGTAGAACTAGAAGCTTTTACATTTCCTATAACACGAAAATTCCAATACTGTCATGGTAGGGATATTCATAACTTCACTTAGTAACTACCCACTTTCATACCTATCACGTGATATTCTTTTTCTCTTACTAACTAGTTTTTTCGTCCTAGAAACGTAACCCCTCCGTCTTTTATACTTTGGCTGTCTCACCGCTTTGTCGCTCCCATCCTGATTCAGAAACTCTATACTTCGCGCATGATTCACTAGTTGCAATGTTTGTTGCTGCAACAAAGTGTCAGTACTTTGAGAGGTAGTTAACATTGGAAACGCAGTACTAGTTTGCAACCGTGAGCGATCTCTTTTGTTAACCTTAAAGCTAATCGACGTCTCGTAACTTTGACTTGTCAATGGTTGGCTCAGTTCTGTTGTACCTTGACTCGGAGTAGGGGAGGTGGATGCTTCGTAGAAATCCGAAAAGATGATTCTTGCATTTTTTCGTTCATCGAGACTGTCGAAAAGGTCTTCGAATCCCTTTGGTGTTATTGGTGGTCTACTAGTAGTAGTTGGAGGTGGTTTTATCGTAGCTAGTGGAACACCAAATATGTCATCTTCATTGACGTCACCAATCGGTCTCTTACTCGTAGTTTTTGGGTGTGTTTTATCAACCAAAAAATTGTCCAAAGTAGTATGCTTAACAGGCACAGTTGTACGAGTTGTTGTGGTTTCACTAAACACCGTGGGCGTAGTTGTCATTTCCACATATATTGGAGTAACTGTAACTTTGTCCATAACAGTCGGTTCGATAGTTTCAGTGGTGGTACTTAATCTTGTAACAGTAGCTTTAGCAGCAGCTTGAGTCTGTACGGCTATTGGCGTAGGTATTTCTGATGATGCAGTTGTCGATTCTTCTGTAGCTGGCTCAGCTGTTTTAAAAGAGGCAGTTGTTTGTCTTATAGTTGTGGTTATACCTTGAGATTCTGTGCTACTCAAGAGAGTTGGCGTCGTATTTACTGTTGTGGTTTCTTTTGGGGAAGGTGTATGTGTTGTCTCTCTACTACTGGGGACCGTGGTTCTGACAGTCATTTTCACTATTTCGGTAGTAGTACCGATATTTGTTGTCTCGCCAGCTATCGTACTTGTGCCATAAGAAGTTGTTTCAGGTTTAGTTACTCCGTGAATTTCAGTCATAGATTTATCATAACTTGTGACTAACGTGTTAGCTTTTGTTGTAGTACTTGGTTGTGTTGTTGTTTGATATGGTGCAGTGGTACCGACTTCCATTGGTATTTGCATTTGATTAGATAATGTAACAAATGCCTTTTGAGTTGTTACAGTCATTGGAAGAGTTGCTAACACTTCTGGTAACATTTCTGATTGTGTGAGCTTGTACGTAGTTTGATGGACAGTACTTTTAATGGTACTTGACTTTGTTGGTGTAGATGTATCACTTATTCCAATAGGTAATGTCACCGGGATGTGTTGGGAAGTTGTAAGAAGAGAAGTTGCGACTGGTGGTACTTTAGCTGACTCTGTACTAGGTTCTGGGAGTACTGCAGTTGAGGACATTGTTTTTATCTCTGTAGTTGACTGAGCTGTGGTAAAGGGCGTAGTTTGCACTTTCATAGATGTTGATATTGTGGTAGTTGGTTTCTCAACTCTTGTTATTGTTGAAACATAACCAGGCTTCTTCCTATATTTTTTCGTACTTTTTGGGAACGTAGGATTTCTGGCTGTTGTAGCTTTACTTTGAGGAACTACCGTGGTACCTACTGATGTCATAGAAAGTGTTGTTCCAGGTGTCATAGATGCGGTGGTATGCAAACTCGTGGAACTAGACATTTTTGTACTAGCAATTTCAGGTTCACTAGGGGGTGGGGCTTGCTTCGTAGTACCTCTGGTCGTTGTGGATTTTCGTCGTTTTGTTGTTTGTTTCGTTGCAGTTTGCGTTGTTAGCTTGCTAGTTGTAGCTGTTGTAGATTTTGTTGTTTCTACTGGTTCTAGAAATAGTTCTTCAGATGGTTCTTCTTCCGATTCCGGCTGTATAATGAAATTCGTTGTTGGGGTTTTTGTTGTTGAACTAGTTTTCACCGAAGTTGTAGTGGTTGAAGGCTTTGTAATCTTTTTAGTGGTACTGCTACCATCAGTTCCTGCTGGCTCAGGAAACAGTTCCTCTAGTATCTCCTCAGATTCATCTTCTAGAGCAACAGCCATCGTTGGTCTTTTTGGCGTGCTAACTACAGTTGTTTTGGTCTTGGGAGTTAACGTACTGGATATCTTTGTCATTTTTGATTTCTCGGTAGCTGATGTGATCTTTTTGGTGGTACTACTACCACTTTCTGCTGGTTCAGGAAACAGCTCTTCTAATTCTTCCTCTGATTCCCCTGCTGGAGGAAGACCAATTGTTGGCTTTCTTGAAGTGGCTTTGGTCTTAGGAGTCAACACACTGGGTTTCTTGGTAGTCCTTGGTTTCTCAGTAATTACCGTGGAAGCTGGGGTGTTACCTCCGATCTCCTTAGTGGTCATAAGTACCTCTCCAACTGGCATGAAGTAGTGCACCGTGGTTTTGACAGGTTGAGTAACTTCTCCTACATTGTCAGCTTGCTTAGGTGGTTTGGTTTCAACAGCAGGACTTGTGGCAGACGAAGGAAGTGGTGGGGGAATATAGTGGTTCAGCGATACTCTGAAAGGTCCTTCTTCACCTGGAGTTGTGGTTTTGGAGGCTAACGTTTTAAGGAGAATTTTGTACAACTCTATCTCTGAATTTTCCGGCGGCGTAGTTGCATGTTGTTGTTGCGTGGGTGAAGTGAAGAAAGGTTGGTATGTTTTCAGAATGTGTCTGTTGCCATAGTTGTCTATTCCTACGATGACGTCCGGTTTGAATATATCTGTTGGGATTTTGCTGTTGTATGTCTGAAAGAAGTAAATTTTATTTCATTAATTGATTTCCTAATATAGAATATTTATGTTTCTATGTTTTAAGTTGCTCCATTAAAATACGAAGACAGAAGGCAGGGGATCCACTATGACGGTCTCACGGCTATGACATTGAATGTCATTGTAATCAAAATATTTAAAAATTAGTTTACCCGACAACCGAAAATATCTATAGTTGTTTTCACTGTTTTGGCGGTTTCATCATCAATGCTATTCGAAATAAATAAACAAAATGACTAACTGAACCATATGCGGAGCTGAAACTCAATAAGAAAATGGCACACTGGGTAAACCGATCCTAAAGGCAGTTCGACTTGCACACGAGTTGATTAATAATGGACCATTGATTTGATCCATTTTCTCAAAATACATCAATAATTTTGGCAAAAACTGTCGATATTTTCAGGTACTGCTATGTTTTATATTGCGAAGATCAATGAAAAGTAAACTCAAAATGGTATGGTACACAGCATCCAAGCGCTGTTTGATTTCGTTGCGCGATTCCTCTTCCAAAAATAAGGATCGAATCACAAACCGATATTGCTCTTTTTCCATTTTTCTAAAATCCGCGGACCCGCGCTTCCACACGCGGTCAAAACAAAACTACGAGTCCAATTCGGCTCCAATTTTGATAGTAACCGTCTACGAGAATGAATTATACGATAGTAAATTTCTCATGCGATACTGGCGCCATCGAGCGGTGAGGCTAAGTACTTATCGGATCGCCCTCGTAACTTCAAAACGGTCGGACATATAAACTTAATATTTCGCTGTCAAAGCCTACTAAGATCACTTGCTATGTGCTGTAAAGTTTTTTTCACGAGTATCCTTTTCGGTAGAATATCAGCTGATTATCTAGTAATATTTCAAAATTCTCCATATCGACAAGTGACACGCAACTCTGAAAGATCCGTCAACGCCAGGTAGACAGAGCCGAATTTTGTTGCAGTTTTTTGTACGGCGGATTCATTTGGTACTTGCTAACAACTCTTTTATTTAGGAAAGTTCTTTCGCATACAAAAAATGAATACGGTCTTCAATTTTAGCACATTTGCACCCGAATCATAACTGCCAACGTTACGGACTAATACAAATACGTCACTTGCCGGTCAGCTGTTTACCTCAGTAGACGTCAAACGTGATGGATACTCGTGAAATAGGGTGCACTGATCTTAGTATGATCGTAGTGTGTTATGGTGTGTTATGGTTATCGAAAACAAATGTATTTGCTAATTCTTACATCTGGAAAGGTAGATCCTGCTGCTTCTTTCTGCTTAATCACAAACACATGTCCAGGTAATGAGTAGTCGAATCTACCGTCTCTAATTGCTTCGTTGATGTCTTCTACTGGACTGATGGTGTATTCCGTTTCGTAATTGAATCCACCGTGGTGAGTCCTGTGACGTAACCTTTTAACAGTCCATAAAGCGAGGAGATGGGTGGGATCTTCAGAATAAATGTCCTGCAAAAGTTTAAGTGTAGATAATATACAAAGAATGTACATATAATAATAACAGCCTTTATTTAACCTAGCGGGAGTCAGCTAAAAACCGCTTGTCATAGCAGCCAAAAATTGTGACTTTCGTAAAGTAAAATCATAACTATGTTTACAGTCGTACAGCCTGCGAAAACTAAAACCAATTTTGGCCTGAAAGGTTGTAGTCTCTTTAAAACAAAGTAATCTCGACATACTCTTCAACGTCTTGTAGAGCAAGGTTTTAATTTTAATTTAGATAGCTGGCCACCCCGAAAATTATAATTTTTAACTATGGTAGCCCAGATAAAATTTGTTTAAACAATTGTTTTAAATAAATTCCTTTTTTTGCCCGGACATTTTTTTCATGTTTTTTAGATCATTCCGAACATAAAATGCTTCCATTAATTATTCTCTAAAGCTGACCAAAAGCGGGTATTCAATGCTTAATAACTCGGTTAAAAATTATAATTTGTGAGGTCGCTAAGTATCTGAATTGAAGGTTAAACCTTGCTTTACAAGACCTCGATGGGTATTTTGGGGTTATTTTAAAGCGGTCATTAACCGTGTCACCAAAATTGGCGAACTTTTGGTTTTCTCAGACTGCACCTGCACCATGTTTTTGATGGTAAATCGGGTTCCTGCCACAGGAGGACCACTTTTTTTTATCCAAAACCGTTTTCAAACTGCATTTACGCTGCTTCAAAACAAGCCCGGTTGCTTGATTGTAAATTACTGCTTTACTATGGGCTATTAAGATGGGCACGTAATAAGGAGCCAACAATAATTACTCAAAGTTAGTCGATTTAGTTCTTCTAATGACGTGTGATTTATATTTTACAACGATTTGGTTACATTAATAAACAGGAGTTACTGGAAACGGGATTTACTTTAAAATCCCGCACGGGTATTATGTAAAAAACCTATAAAACCTCTAAAATGCCATCTTGCAGACTAGGTAGTTTTTAGGGTGCAAACAGTCATTCCACATTTGATCACTAGGATCTTTGTGAGCGTGCATCTATGGCGGAATAGCTCAACTACACGCATGGTTGGTTGCAGATGTTTTGTGAAGCCGAGTAGTGTATAGTTTTCATCTCTGAGAAGAAACTTGGTTGAATAGCAAGATCGCATCTGGATGATTGTGTGTATTGGTCTGCATGTGTATAAAAACAGTGATATATGCTGTGTGCGAAAATCATTACTGAATATGCTGCCAACGATGTACATATATCTATTAGCTGTGCCCGAGGGGTTATCTATATGTTGTCCTTTCTGAAGACAGGTTATGTTCAAAGTTATAAATTACGATTTTTTACGTCTTTTTTTTGTGTTTTCAAAAACTTTGAGGAGAATTATGGGGAATCGTCACCGCGTCCGCTATGTCTTAGCAAGTATATGACTTGTAATTCGACAGTGTACAGTGAATATAATTATTTCATATTTCTCTCATTTTTGAAATTCAGCAAATTTGCATAGGTATGTTTGCGTATCTAATTTCTAGCTTTGAATCTCAAATAGGTGTATTTGAGACAAGAATCCAATGGAATTATCATCATCATTATATATTAACTCATTTGATACATGCACTAGGGTCATTCGTAATGAAAGCGAAAGAAGTATTGCAGGTTCCTTACCTCACACAATACTCTCCTACATCTGCCACAAGGTCCACAGTCTCTGTCTTCGTCCTCTTGTACAAATTCAAATCCTCCTCCTGGAGTGGCGTATAATCTACCCTTCGCCAGGGTGCTAATATCACCAAAAGGGGTCGCAGCTCTCTTGCGATGCATCATCGGTGCTGACAAAACACGTAGACGTAAGTCTGGTGCGTAGCGGTTGCGTTGCAACACTTGGGTGACTGCTTCGCGTAATCCTATCTGAAACGTGTTATAAATAATAATTTGGTCCATGAAGGATCGTGGAATGAAAAGATTCAGTTGGTTTCAGCAAATTGGTATGCTGACCGTAGGGTTACCAGATGGCCGGGGTTCGTAGGGGTTGTCCCGACATTTCATATGATGTCCATAGTCCCAGCAAAATACAAATTGTCCCGACAAATAGTAAAACAGAAATTTAAAATCACAGAAATTTGAAATTGCGCGGTTTGAAAATCACTTCACTCATTCGATTGAACGAAACGGGTATACCATAGTCAGAAATAGAAGGGCATTCGATTTAATTAAACCCTAGTTAATAATAAGATTAAACTTTGATGAAAATTGTTTGCATTTTAAAAGTTTTTTGGAGACTCCAACGGGTGTGTTATAAGTATGTTTTAGTTGTGTCATATTTTGATCTCATATGTCCCATCTGTAATCTCATAACTTGCCAAAAAGTATTTCGTTGCAATAGCTATAATTTTGGTAATACAAATAACTTTTTAATTCGTAATATTTATTTGTCCCGACTATAACACCAGGAAAATACTCTATGTATTGAGGCAGGTGGCTTGCGCGTTTCCATCTATAAAATACTACTCGAGGTTGCTTCTCAAGCCGGTCCGGAGGAGCTTTGCCTTTAGGTCATAGTTACTGTAATATCAGTGTCTGTCGTCAGTCAGTCAGTCAGGTCTGGTGGCCCAGAAGCTAGACAAGTTGTAGGGGATCTATAAGATACTCGACAAAGCTCTATGGCGTCAAAAAACCCGTGTGTCTTCGTTCATAGTATCAAGTGATTCCATCAGGGTTCATAATGAAAATAGGCTTCAATATTGTAAAAAATATCTGGGAAAGAACTCTTTTAACAAAAATGTTAGGGTTACCAGTATCCCAAACGACCGGCTTGAAGTTTTTCTGTTAGAGTTTATAGTTGTACTCGAGTGAGTACTCGGTACTCGACACTGTTAGTGATATCAAGATACAGTGAAATCCACTTATAATGAACTTGCTTATAATGGAAACCCGTATATAATGGACACATTTTAAGGTCCTATAAATAATTGCATGTACAATTCTCGGATATTATAGACTCGCTTAAAATAGACCCTCGCTTATAGCAGACTATTTTAATCCATTATATGCGTGCTATTTTGGTAGTTCCCCGAAGTAGATTTCCCTGATGCAATCATTTACGGCGGTTTGGCTTCGCAGTTTGCATTCGAACTTGGCCACCAGTGTTATACTGTATTTATTAGAGTTATAAAAATGTCGAAACGTGCATTCACTTTACACGAAAAGTTCACAACAATTAGTGAGCTTGAGCAGGGTTCATCTCAAGCAAGTAAATGTGCTCGTGTGCCTATAAAAAAATCCACTGTGTCAAATATTTGGAAAAACCGTGAGAAAATTAAAAATGACTGGAAATCAAATAGTCAAAAGAAGAAATGCGGCTTATGCTGCATCCCAAGTCGATGATATGCTGTTTAAATGGTTTCAACAAAAGCGTGCTAATGATTTTCCAATAAGTGGACCTATGCTACAAATAAAGGCTGAAGAATTTGGGAAATTGATTGGAGATTACTTCAAATGTAGTTCCGGTAGGCTAGACAGGTTTAAGAAAAACCTAACATTGTTTTTGGAAAAATGTATGGTGAGTCAGCTTCAGTTGACAAGAACATTACCAATGACTGAATTCGTCGAGTTTAGCTCGTAATATCCAGTGATTATTCAGATGATAACATATTCAATGCAGATGAAACCGGGATATTTTATAGAATGCTACCCGATAAAACTCATAAATTAAAAGGTGAAACTTGCAATGGAGGGAAACTATCAAAAGAGCTAAAAACTGTTATGATTTGTGCTAATGCTTCTGGTACTGAAAAACGGAAAGTATCGATAATAGGTAAGTGAATGAATAGAAATTCATGTTCTAATTTTTTTGATATTCAATGGCAGTGCTTCCAAGGTATTTATGACCTTTTTTTTATTTCAGGGAAATTTAACAATCCCAGGTGTTTAAAAAATGTTAAAACAATTCCCGTCGATTATGTTGGAAATAATAAAGCTTGGATGACTTCATCAATTTTTGAAGAATATTTAAAACAGTGGGAACTTGTTAAGAAAAATCGTAAAATTTTGCTCTTGGTCGATAACTGCCCCGCTCATCCAAATATTTCACTTAATGACATCAACCTTCAATTTTTTCCACCCAAAGTGACATCAACCAATGGACCAGGGTGTCTTTTGGAGTCTCAAAAAAATGTGTCGGAAACATATGTTGATGAAAATTATCGAGCTTCAAGAAGATGTCAACATTACCAAAGCTGTCACCATTTTAGATGCCATAAATTTACTTACTATTGCATGGGAATTGGTTACTCCAGAAACGATTCGTAATTGTTTTCGTACTTAGTGAAAAACATAACTCAAATAGTCAACGATTTTAATCCGGAAGATGAAATTCCATTAAGTGATTTACTGAAAACTAATAGTTTACTGAATATAGACAAATTTAATGAGTATGTAAATGTTGACAATGATTTAGTAGCAACACAGAAATTGTCAGACCCCAATTTGGTTAATGACGAAGCTGTTGATAGCGAATAGGAAGACGAACTAGAAAACAACGATGAAGAAGAGCTTCCAGTGACAACTAAGGAGGCATTAGACTGCATGAAAAAGTTGCGACGTTATTTTCAGTAAGAAGAAGACAGTACAGCCACACTTACCAAATTAAATAAAATTCAACTTGATGTTCTAAATAATTATACAAAAAAACTATCTGCTGAAATGAAAATTACTAGCTTTTTTACTAAATAATTTACGGTTTTTACACATATCTACACAGTACGTATGCCTGTAATACGAGTATGTGTATCAGATTCTGAAAAAGATGCAAATTTCAAAATTACGTATAACTTTTTTGTAAGTATCTTTATTTATGTAATACATGTTAAATAAACACATTTTAAGTTTTTAATATGTTATTTCTGCTGCTTTTTTCATTAAAAAAAGTGTTTCTTTTCAGATGGTCATTCGCCTTACTCGTATAATAGACTATTTGTCACAGTCCCACCGAGTCCATTATAAGCGTGTTGCACTGTACTTGCATTTTTGAAAGGGGTCTTTATTTACAAAATTGATTCTCTTTTTCTAGAGATTAACGTAACACAAAGAAAAATACAGTTGTGCAGTTAAGATCTTTCTTCCGCGAGTGAGGTTTTATAAATATCAAGGGACTTGGCAACAGCTAGGTATATGTTTTCCAACTGTGGAATCCAGCAGCTACAATACTGAGTTAAAATTGAAACATTGAAACCATACTTTAGACATACGATTTTTGGAATATTTGTTTTTGATATACTTTTTAAGCCTTCCTATTAAAGAAGTAAGACATTCAAATGGTATATAGGTGTATATACCCGATATCATGAACTAATTTTTGTTGAAGGCAGGCAGCACGAGGCTCAAATTTGCTCAGATTTCTGAAAATTACCTAATAGAATATCCTTGTCATGTCATGGCTAACTCGAACACTGCATTTAAACCCTAGGTTTCTCACCTACCTTCGGGAGTAGATAGCAAAATAACACAAATTAAAACTACTGGATGTCGAGGGGGACCAATTCAGGTTTTGGAAGGACTAAACTTAAATTATCCTTTTTGTATGAGTATTGGTTTTATTTGCAGAAAGCTGGGATGCTTGTTATTCAAATTACTTTTCCACTTTTGCTGCAATTTGTTCACTTTGTTTTGTGGTTTTTATTGTTTTTTGAGTGTTTATGAACAAGCTTACCAATCAGCCAACTGAGACCAGCAAAGTTATGCTATTATTTGTTGATACGTTAATTTCTTGAAGTACATATCAAGACGGTTTGGGAAAGGTATATGAGCTCAGACTATGCACATCACATCTGCAATCCTTTACACAAGTTGAGCGTCTTACGTTCAGACTCGGCAAAACAGCGTATTCGGTAAAATAGGCCGAGTATGCCGAGAGCCGGGTACAAACCGAGTACTCTGTGCATCCCTAATATTTTTATTTCCCCTTAATAGGATGGTTGGCTTTTATGTACAGGATGCGGCAGTATAATTTTCTATTCTAAATTGCGTGTCAATCAGTCAGTTGATGTAGTAGAGCGCTATTATGTATGTATCGAAGAAAGAGACTAAACCAAAACAGTGATCATCGCGTGATTATTGCGTGATCAGTACACTGATATATTTCAAGAGAGAGGGAGCATAACTGTTATTGGGCAGAATAGGTCGAGCCCTTACACAAAACCAATGACAAACCAGAGGGTGGAGTGGGAGACGATACGACCGTGCAATCCGGCTGTCCCGGTGGCTGGCCGTACAGTACAGAGTTGGCATCAGATTTATACTGGTATTACTGTGTGCCTATTAGATTTGTCAGTTTAATTTCGTAGAACTCAAAATGTCTGATACGGATACTGCTGATGAAGTTGTTGATATAAGCTGCACACCGCCTAAAAAGAGAGCTAAAAGACTTCATTTTAGCGTTAGCGAAAAACAAATAATTATCAACAATTATAAATACGAAATGCAAGGAAGGAGTGACTCAAGTGTTTAGGACATTGTTTGCAAAGCTGACACCTACATATCTTTCAATACTTGTAAGACGAGGAATTTCAACTAAAATTATATTTTATTTTTGTTTTTGTACATGCTTAAACTATATCGAGATAAGAAATCAAGCAATCATTTTGTTGCGTTTTTAATGCTTTCAATAGGAGCGGTTTTAAAGTGTCCAAAATGAATTATTTTTAGGAAAATGTAAGCGATGGATAATTTGCCACATCGGTAATGAAGATGGATTTGTGTCCGACGCTTTATGGGCATTTGAATCCAAATAAACGGGAGACTACCATGAAGAAATGGATGGACCCTCGTTTAAAAATTGGTTCTCACATACTCTACCGAAGCTTGAAGATAATTCGGTTATAGTATTAGATATTGCTTAATTCCACACGAGAAAATTAGAGAAAATTCCAACAACGTCAACAAAAAAATCAGAAATTCAAGGATGGCTTAAAATAAAAAGATTGATTATGATGATACAACGGTTAAGGCAGAATTGTTACAAATTGTTAAGACGCATACGGCAGGCAAGGCGCAAACCTGCACATAAATGATGAAATGGCCAAAAAACAAAATAAAACTGTTTTACGACTGCCTCCTCACCATTGTGAGCTCAATCCGATTTAGCTCATTTGGGCAGACATAAAAGAATATGTTGCAGCAGAAAATACATGTTTTAAATTTTTTGACCTTAAAAATATTGTTCGTGATGCTATACAAAGAATAACACCGAATAAGTGGGAAAATGTATCAGCATGTAAAAGAAAAGATCGAACCTAAAATCTGGAAATTGGTATCATTGATACTCACGTTGCCCCTTCAATCATAAATCTTGATGACAGTGGAAGTTCCACGGCCTCAGATCTAGAATGATTTTCATTTTCAAATATATGTATTTCCGGTTTTAGAGGTAAAATATCTGTGCAATAAATTTTTGTATAATATTTAGTATATATTATTATGTAGTCAAATCCTTTTTATTACAACTCCACCTAATTATTCATTTTTTAGTCTAATATTAAAATTAACTGTTTGCACACTGACGACCCTGTTCAAGCGGTGGTTAGGTATACTTGTATGCATATGCAATTATCGTTTTAATGTGTCAAGACATTTTTTAAAAGCCTGCTTCATAAATGCGCCTTACGACACATTTCGAGTATAATTTCTTGATAAAACACTTCTACTAAAAACAACAATAGACAGTTGTTTCTTTTTGGTCATGACAGTTAAATTAAAAAAATACATTAATTCCAAACTTTACGTTTGGACCCTATACATGTCTGCAATAATTTTGCATACTTTTTGATCGTGTCGTAGAACCACAAATCATGTATTCTTAGTACGGCCCTGTAACGTGCTCGGCGTTCTGGAGCGCGATCACGTGGAGTATACGTGAATATGTTTAGGTTTGGTCTCTTTCTTCGATGGATACATAATAGTGCTCTCGTTCGAGAATTCTTCATGATGATCTTCATTTCCATCCTTACAAGATGGCAATTGTGCAGGAACTTTCTGAACGTGAATTCAGTTTTCGGATGAACACGTATGAGCGTCTTCTCGAAGTCGTTCCTGAGGACGATATTGTTTTTTGAAGTGTGAATCCATCAACAAACAAAACGTGCGCTACTGGGCCGACACTAATCCTCGAGAATTGCATCAAAAGCCTTTGCATTCACCTAAACTCACACCATTTTCTCATCAGGAATTGTTGGTCCTCGGTCTTTGAGGAAATGAAGTCGCAGTGACAGTGAATTCGGACCGGTATGTAAACATGTTACAGGAATCTTTTTCCATGGCTAAATGAGCTGGACTTGAGTGACAGTTGGTTACAACAAGACGGTGAGAGAACATTTCCCAGAGCGCTTCATTTCAATGAGTGGCGATTTCGCCTGCTCTCCCGATTTGGCTCCTTGTGATTTTTTCTGATTTTGAAATCCCGTGTTTATGTGAACCGAACAAGGACTCTAAGGCCCGTATTGTCAGTCGTCCCTACAATTGTAGGGCGCCTTTATGGCCTCCTTGATTGTCATACTTTTCTACTTCTCCGTGTCAGAACTCTATTTTGAGGTTATGTCACAAACATCTATTTGCATCAAATTGTGCTTGCTTTTGAGTTATTTCATGTTTTATCAGCCTGAAATTTCCTACAATTGAAAAAGAAAACATATCTTCACAATAGGAGAGCGCTGACGCTGACACGGGACAAGTGTAATCTAGAAATTTTTGAAGGAGAGAAAGAAGTATGACAATCAAGGAGGCCATAAACGCGCCCTACAATTGTAGGGACGACGGACGATAAGAGCCTAAGAGATTTAAAGACTAACATCCAAGAAGAAATTGCCAACATGACACCTATCTGATTTGATCTTCAAAACCATATAAAACAAAACTTTAGGCATGCGTCTACAATTAAAAAAAAACAAATAACAATGTTTTGATTAATACAATGAGTTTTAAAAATTAATACCTCCCACTCCAGCAACTGGTCCGACGACGAAGATGATGGTATGTGTCGAAAATTTCTTTGTCCATTGTTGGTAATGGTGGCGCATTCCCACAGTTTTGTAAATACCTGAAATTCAGAATGTTATAATGCATAAATTTAACACAAGTGGAAAAAACTCGGAACAAGGTTGATAAGATGAACATTTTTAATCTGAAATGTCATTTTAAAAAGTGAAGGGGAATTTGACTCATATGATATACGAGAGTTGATTCCTGTTCGACTAAGATCCTAGGGTTGACAAACAGGCATTCCTTATTTTCTGAAAGACGAAACATCGAGCAGTAGCGTAGTGGTTTCAGTCATCTTTCGTTGTATGGGATGATGATCAACTTTGGCAAACCATTGGTAGGTCAGATTTTTTCGTACAGTATTTTGAGTTTTTCAAACGACCATAGCCTCTTACTTGCTCCCCGTTCATCTGTCTCCATGAGTATACCTATACCGCAAGAATGAATGAGCTCGAAACAACGATGTCTGCGGTAGGTCATGGTTACAGAGACGGAAAGCAACAATCCAAAGAATAGGTGTTTTCTCTTAAACAGATCCGCTCCTATTTTCTTTGAACTTCGGCCATGTTAATACCGTGTACAGCGATGCGGTGCGCCTATCATTGATCTTGCACCGGTCTGGTGTGACAACACACAATTAACATCCATGGCTCAGAATTAACTTCCGAAGCGGGGATTCGAACTCACGATCGGGTCGACTGCTTGGTAGCTGGACGCGCTAACCACTCTGATACCGATGCCCCTACCTAGTGTTAACATTGTCCAATAGCCAGTAACCATTCTGAAAATTCAATATTTCATTATTCTGAAAAAGGTCCATTGAGAAGGAGGGAATAGCTCAAATCAGTTATTATATTTTTGGGTGCATCAGCGTATCCAGGAAAGCGTTCCAGAAAAGGCTCAGAGTTCACAACAGAGGTAAAGTGATGATAAAAAAGTTTGATAGGTTGAACGTAATGGCGACCAAAACCCTGTTCTCAAAAATTAGCAAAAAATTGCTGTCAAAGATGTCGTTTCGTCAGTCATCTGTTATATCAACCTCAAACCTACAATCCAAAAAGAAAACATAGTCTCACAAAAGGAGAGCGCTGACGCTGATATGTAACAGTAGAAATCTAGGAATAGCCCAGCCTTTCTGAGGGAGCGAAAATCCTATGAAAATCAAGGAGGCCGTAAAGGCGTCCTACAATTGTAGGAACGACTCACGATATGCCCTAATAAACAAATGCTCCGATTAAGCATCGACCTTGCTACTTTTCATTGGATGACAAGATACCTCCCATTCAAAACGAGCCCACTGGCAACACAGCTTTATCAAAATAGGTCTTGAGGCTCAAAGCCTCCTGTAAATACATCCTTGTTTAGATGGATGGTCTGCTTGAAAATTGGTTATACCTACTTATATAGTAAGCAGTATAAAGAATAGTACTCACATGAAAGCATGTTATTACAAAACTTTTTGAAGGACTGTTTTAAGTGAGTAATAAAAACTTAACATTTAAAACACATCCGTTTCTACGCTGGTGCTTTATGGGTTTTTAAAGTCGTCAGTTATGTTATAATGTGTTTTGCATAGAAAGGGAAAGTAAATACTTAACAATTTGTAACAGGCATATTATTTCCTCTTTTGTTACGGAGATGTAAACTGCTAATTAGTGGAAAAAATGAAAGTAGATTAGTGGGGACTGTAATATCATAGTTACTGCTTCATTGTTGTGTGGTGCATACAGGGTGTTTCAAATTAGACCCGCACCATTGCGATCTCGGTAACTGTAATATATACGAAGTCGCTTAAATAGTGGCAAAGTCGGGTTATTATTAGTTAATTAACAAAATGCCGTTTAGAAAGTTTCGAAATTCAAAGTACTTCCGGAGAAAGACGGAAAAGATCGAATTTTCCCAAAATCGTTTTAATTTTTTCCTGATTTTATTTTATAGTGGGATTTTAAAATAAATTGCTCATTTACATTGCCTCTTTTCTCTCTCCCCTCTACAAGATGGCATAATTAGAATTACAATATGACGTTTCTTCTCTTGTCATCCAGCATCAACCTTATTTTTTCTTATGGACGTCATTTTTGCACAGATGAATACAGTTTTCAATTCTGATTCCAAAAATGTATAATATGTCATAGATTGGCATTTCCAAAGCTTATTTATTGTCAGAAAGCAGAATTTCTTAGGTACGCGTTGAAATTATCTGATAGTCATTTGTTTTGCTTACCAGATTTATCCTAAGATCACTTTTATTTTTTCATGACCTTATTTGAGATATGATTTTAAAATAAATTGTATGTTGTCATTGTTACTTAATATTCTCCTTTACAAGATGGCCTAGTCAAATTTTCAATTCAACATTTCTTCTTTCAACTTCCATCATCAACTTTTTTTTTTCATATGGACACTATATTTTAATTTTGCACATTTAAATGGACTTTTCAGACCTAAATTCAGTGATGTATTTCCTTAGTTGGCCATGAATTTGTTGTTGGATATATTATAAGGAAATAAAAAGGTATGGTGAAACCTGAACACAAAATGCAAATTTTATTGATGGTAATAATAATAATAATAAATAAGCAGAGATGGATTATAGCAGATGTTGAAAATGTTATTTTGTGGGCAAGGCCTGAGTCTTCCCTGTAGATTGTTCTCTGCTCGATCTATTTCTTTCCTCCTCTGTCTTCGAAACTCTGTTGCCACGTGTAATTCGAGGTCTGGTCTGGTATACGAAACAAATGAAATCTGATATCAAGGCCTACCTAGGAGCTTTTCTGTAATAACTAGGGCTTGGTAATGTCAATGTGTGAAATCAGAATTAAAAACTCTATTCATCTACGCAAAAATCCAATATGGAGTCCATAAGAAAAAATAAAGTTGATGCTGGAGGACAAGAGACGAAACGCTATATCCAAACTCTAATTAAGCCATCTTGTAGAGGAGAAAAAGTGGCACCGTTAATGTGCAATTTATTTTGAAATCCCACTACAAATTAACCCAGGAAAAAATTAAAACAAGTTTGCGGTCGTTAATAACAAAATTGTTTTTCGAAGTGAGAATTCTAAAAGTTCGTTACTGAAAGTGAGATTAAAAGACTTTACGACAGTCCTCGAGTACTGTGCGAGTCACGCAAATACCGATCAAAACGTGAAAAAGTCGTGGAGTTTTAATAAAACTGGTTGGCATACTTAAAGAACAATAAACGAATTCATAACATATTCTAGATTTATATTAAATATTCTATGGGCACCCTGTTTACGAAATGGCCAAATCGTTAAACATTGATGATTTAACTATATGGTCATTCGTGGATGACCATATCGTTAAACGTTGACAATTCAAAGTTATGGTCAAATTTGGTTGGTCATCTCGTGAAATACGACCATTTCGTGAAATGCTCGATATGACGTAGATGTGCTACATCACGAAAATCCATGTCGCCTATTTCTTTTTTTACCGCCATAATTTTGATGAATGGGCAATAGTATGCGGTGACGTCATAGTGGGCAATGCTACTTCATTTTTGAAAATCAGTTTGGGGTCGGCAGAGTTAAAAGCTAAAAGTGGTCTCAAACTTGGCTTTTGTATATTCTCCAACATTCTTATAATTTTTTTAAGTTGTTTTTGAATAGATCAAGATTTTCCATAAAATTACAAACATTTCGTTTCACGATTTTTCAGGTTTCGAATTTTGAAATTTTTCAAGGTTTTTCAAGTGGTGATATTTTTAAAGAGCAAGATTTCGAACTTGTACATATTTATAATTTTAAATTTGGATGTATATGAATGCGTGGATAGTACGTAGCTAGTCTGCTTGATCTCATTTTACTTCCCACACCTATTGAGGGAGAAGTATTGTAATCGCGAACATTTTCGAATATGAGATATGTTTTTTGGATGTTATATGACATGTACATCACGAAAAACCGTGTCACTCATTTCTGTCGGTCTGTCTGTCGGTATAATATTATAACCGCCTATATTGAAGTACCACTCGGATTTCGATGACATTTTTTACAGTGTTGCTACTATGCCAAGGACACAAAACAGTTTTTTAAATTCGGTACCCTGTTGACGGAGCTATGGGCAATAAAAACTTCGTCTTTTGATGTTTCAGAGGCTCTTGATCATTTTCAGAAATGGATGGGCTAAAAATCGAGGCTTGGTGGAAATGGGGGTGGGGGAGGGTATATATTATTTTTTTGGCAGCAGTATATATTTCGAGCCCCATTAATTTTACGCACTCATCAGTAGCGCTATTTCACACATCATAGATTTCCCGTACATTAAAATGGTACATAGTAACAGTATCTAGGGGCTCTGATGTCAAGAAGCCTTACTCTATCTGAGGCATATTTTTCTTTCTCTATGTCGTAGAAAAACGCGAAGAAAAAACGCTTAGTAAGTCAGCTTTAATTTTAGTTTTGATTGAACACCTGTAAGAACTTTGTATCAGTACCAGCCTAGTAGATTTGCACTTCCATTATTACAAAAAGTACCTCAATAAATAAAATTGTTTGAAAACCTCGAAAGGAGTAGAACATTTACTATATTTGTTGTGTTGAAGTTCACAGTTATGTTCCTAAACTATTGGCAATAAAATAATCCTTTAGGACAACTATGTGAAGAGTATGTTTATTAAGAAGTATGACGAATAACCGGTTTCAAGTGGTTTTGGATTTTTTTGTAATTTAACCGCCACGAAGGCCAAGTACTAGCGGGTATCGTGGGTTACAACATTTAGATTAACACAAAAATGAAAGATGATGTTTCCTCTTAAATATTTTATTCTGGAACGGTGATTCCTCAAAAGAGAATCTTTTGGGAGCATCGAGGACCTTAATGATGAAGTTTGTAATTTTTTATATCCATGAAATCTGCCGTTTATGGAAAACACTTCTTACATTTTTCAATAATGTTGTAATGTTTTAATTTTTGACACGTTGGTTACTGTTTTATTATGAGAATCCGCAAAACTGACCACATCCCTGAATATTCAGCGGTATCGTAAAAATTCAGAGGTGAAGTTTAACAGTACTCCTTAGAAAAAATTTGACTCGTTTAGTTGGATAGTTTGAGACGGGGGCAATCTTTCAAAGGGTGGGCCATTTCAACTTTTCACATTTGGAATTTTAAATCAGCTATAAAAAGAAAGCAGCGTTTTTTTCAAATATTTGGTTTTATTGTAAAGGTTGAACATTCACATTCAAGAATGTGACTATCGTGATAATAGTAATGTTCTAGCATTACATTTCCAACGGTTTGATACCTGAGTGTGAACTCCTTCAACGCGCATGCGTGGTCAAAAAACTAGTTTTAAACGATTTCAAATATGATTCTGCTAGAACACATTTTTCTGTCAAAATACGTTTGAGTTGACAGTGACAGCATCGTATTTGACATTTATATGAAATTTTAGATATAGTACTTAAGAGCTTGATTAAACGTCTTATTATGTAGAATTACCAACTATTTTATATATCAAATGTATCTGCTACATCACTAAATAATTATGCCTCATGTCCTGCGAACCGCAAAAAGATGAGTGTTTGCTCACAAGCAGAACCTTTATCATTGCCTCCAGTCGTCTTTTTGAAGAACATGCCGTGTTCGTATTTAGTTGAGATATCCTCAGACACTTTGTGAGTCACTCTGAAATGTTGCATGAATTCACTTCCATTGTAAAGAGGTGCCGTTACATTTATGTACAATGTTGATTTACTGAAACAGCAGACCAATAATCCTCAACCAGGTTTTGCCCTTGTTTGAACATGTTTCCTTTACTACGAATGCTCAGTCGGTTTCAAACCGTTGGAAATGTGATACTAAAACATTCCTATCATCCAAATGAATATCACGGCTGGCCCGAGAACACCTCATCCGATTAACCCAATACTGTTTCTGTTTCGATGGTTTGAAAGGCAACTTCGATTTTGTGCTTCAAGATCTCAGTTGGCTCTGGCTGATCGGCATAACATTCATGTTTTCTGGCACCCAAAGAAAATAGTCCAACAGGTACAAATCGTAGGTCCTAGACAGCAGAATTCCCAAAATTTCGATTATTTCGTTGGCTAAGTGGCTATTTGTGCCGTTTTTTTGAAACCAAATGTTGTCCATGTTATGTTTTTGTAAACAAAAGTGGCGGCAAATTAACGGGGAAACCTATGATGTATGAAATATCTCCAATAGGAGCATATTTACCGAGGGTTTTCTTGCCTTTGGCCTTTTTGAAAGTTACCCCTGTGCCATTTTTCAAAAACTACAAAGTTTTTCCCCTTGACGTAGTAGCAACCTTGTGTTAAAACTTCATCACAGTCGGCAGGGGTGTTATGTAAAACACCTAAAAAAACGTCAAAAAAAGCAGACTAGGTAGTTTTTAGTGTGTAAATAGTTCATTACATGTTTGCTCGCTATAATCGCTGTTCGCTGATGTTTAGGCAACACGTACAGCTACAAAAATAGTTCACAACAAGTGTACAACAGCTTGTGCTAAGTTAACATCTTGTAGAAAAACTTACG